ACCTGTTGCATGTGCTCAAAGAGATACAAATGGACGGGAGAACAAACACAACAAGTGCGGCAGGGTTTTGAGAATATCAGAGTACAGAGTGATGCGGACAAAGTAAGAGTGAAGGTGTATAAGACGTCGCCGACGAGAATGTTCGCCGCTTGGTCTATCCGTACCTCCCTCAGTCGCGAAAGCCTGGGCAGAACAGGGTAAACAACTCGCAGATTTTGACTTCGTGCGCGCCCCTGAAGTCATCATACACTACTTAGAATGTGTATGCAGATTGAAACTCTGGGATCGGATGGCAGTGGCACACACTTGGATCCCGAACAGCCTTCCTCACAATGACAGTGCTGAGAGCATTACCCCTTTCGGAATCTTGCGGGGTCAAAGGTGGGTTTCGAAAAATTGCCCGAGATTTGCTCTTCGTATGGCCGGATTGCTCCTCTCTTTTTACCTTTGATCCACGAGGAAGCTCGAAGTCGCGTATTGGACGAAATTATAGTGATAGGGTCGACCTGTGGAGCGAGAACTGGGCCTGATTTCCACTTGCCTAGAAGAGAGATAGGCCTTCCACGACTCGGAATAGCACATTGAATCCATCACGATTTTGAGTTGTCGCACCGGTTCCGATGAAGAAGAGAATAGCGATAGGCAACCGGTATGAAGATCCGAGAAGATTGGCTGCATGATCTACGAGTTGATGTGGCGCCGAGCGTCTGGTGAAGCGGAGCGGCATGGTTCATCCGACTGGACAGACCCATGGATGATCGGAAGTTTTGAGAAAACGACCAGATGATCAGCAGGAACAGGTTTCTACTGGTTGTGTTCGTACGGGACGGAGTTTCACGACACATTCAATGCGTGTATTTGTCGCTTTTCACCAACAGTCTGGTAAGGGGACGATGCTCTTTCATGCCCCAAACATGATGAGGGACGCCTCTGCTTGCACGCTACTGCCCGTCCAGCACATGGCGGCGATGGCGCTCGCCTGGAAATTGCGCTTCCTGTTGGAAAGCGGTCATGTTGCTGGCCTGGTGATCGGTCGAGATGCGGGAAAACAAGGTATGGCCCGGTGGCGTATGGCAGTGTGGCCAAATTGCAGTCGACCCGATGAGGCCGCTGGGGAGCCGGAGGTAGGAAGAGAGTAGCTAGAGCCGGACCCAAGTGTGCAATGGTGTGGCCCCGGTGTGCTCGACCTCGGCGGTGTATGTTCATAGGGTGGCCGCGTTGAGTCGCGGCTCCTTAAGGTTATCATTGCTCCTTGAATCCTGTCCTGTCAAACAAACCTGGTTTTTGTTTCCAGTGGCCCTCTCACGGAAAGTAGCCGCGAACGTAAGTATCATGCCCATAATCAAGCACGTTCGGCCGAGCATCGTTTAGTGCCCACTGCGCCGTATAACTCGTAGGTACTCGTACGGGTTGAGCAGGGCATATGCGACGTCATAAGAGTTGATGCAGCATGGGAGTGCGGGTTGAGGGAGCATCAGACGATCTTGTGCATCCACCGTGGTGAAACGCGCGAAGGCCAGCTCTGTTGGAGCCCTTGGCCTGCGTGCCTGCGTGCCTCGTGGGGCCAGCTGAGATACCGCTGATGATAACCAACAAGGATGTGTCGATTATGCAATTTGCAAAAGGTTGGACTGTCGAGTCTCGAGCCAAATATTCTGTGTAGCCATACCGGGGTATTTGCTCATTGCGTCGAAGAAGCCGCCGCACAATGTCGCGGTTGGGCGTTGCGCAACTCTCATCAAGTGATTGAAGCACGAGCGCTTAATCAATAGAAAGAGCCAGTACTCCGTAGCGCCGCGACTTTTCGATGAGGCGGCGTCCAGACACCGCTGCCAAGACATCGTGGCAGCCAAGCTGTCAGTCGGTGGTGGCTAGTCCAAGGAAGAGAAGAGACGTCGAGGCTAAGCCGGTTCGAGCGGCATTATGAAGTGCCGGGGCGGTCTGCAGTGAGGATTTGGAGATTAAGATTGGCTTTCTGAGCTTGAAAACACACGGGCAGTGGTCCGTGATTCTGACGTGTTGACAATGCTGATCTACTGCGTAGCGACGCTGGATGAAGCCGCGGAGATTTTGACTGACAGTGGACGGTCATCGAGGGACACAGGGATTGACAGGGGAAAAGAGGCTTGGAGATCCAGAGGGGGGTGGTTCGGCTGCGACTAGGGTCTGTTCAACCAATGTCAATCCCTGTAGGCCTTACTGCGTAGTGTACATATCGCCTGTCGATTCTCGAGTCGGTATCTGTATCTCGAGTCCTGTGTAAGGAGTAAGGTACGCTTACCGCGTAGTGTCTGATTTGGAGTGTGGCGTACCCGACTCCCGCGGCTCCGTACATCCTGTGTGAGTGTTACCATGTCGTGGGCCGTGGGCCGTGGTGTGGTCGTGTTGGGTGACAGTTTTCTCCTCTTTGAAAAATACGGGGATGATTTGCCGTGTGGCCCACTAAATACCGATGGATACTCTCAAAGTGGCTCTCCTTTTTTGAGTGACAGCCATCAGCAGGAAATTAGACCGCCATGGAGCTGGAGGGGAGATGTTCGTGGAAGGGAAAAAGATTGACGACTCCAAGACTGAAAAGGGGAAGTTGTGAACATCATTTGCACTTTCTGGCTTGTGCGGGAATAGGAACGTATCTTACTGGTACGTGCCTGTCAGCGATGAACCCAGCACGTGCCGGGTGAGGTACGTACTCACAAGAAATGTACGTACTTCCGCCGGGATCGGTGGAAAGGACGTTGAAATGTTTTGGGAAACAGAATGCCCATAGCGTCCGCAGATTGTTCCTGCATTAGTTCAAGAAACCAGATGTTTGTGCTACTCCCTCGAGTTATGCCTACTTTGTGCAATTACACTACCTAATACATACCTTACCCCTGGCTAAACTATCAGACTTTCTTTCCAAAATGTTCAGGGTCAATTAACAAAGGGTGAGGGGCAAAGCACAGGCGCAGGCCACAAGGCACAAGGCACAAGGCACAACAAGGCTTTGCCAAGGGAAACCGGTACCCCTGTCTTCTGGCTCGAGGATGTCTCTTTCTCTTCTCTTTTGGCGGAGAACCCTGTTCCTCGTCTTTTCTCTGCGTTGGCATCTCTCTTCTCTTCAATCCTCTGTTCTGTCCAGGTTCTGCCACGGCAGTGTCACTGTCTTCTGCCGTTGCCGCTGACGCTGCTGCACCAATCATCGAATCCTCCCTCCTTTGGTGAGATGATCGTCCTTCACCTCCACATTTCGGTGCATTCCCACTACCCATCATCTCTCTCAGCTGGGTGGCCTCGCTGCCTCAGCACCACTCAGCTCTTCCGCTTCTTTGTCCCGTCTAGCTCCGAAATCATCTCAAGACGACTAATGCCGCGGGTTGTCTCTCCCTACGGAACATTCCCTCCCTATCTAAGAATATGAAGCCAGTCTTCTGGTCTCAACCATAGTAACATGGTCTCGCTCGCTCCCGCATTCCTCAGGCAAACCTTTTCTTAACCTCCTCCGATCTCTCGTCTCACTCTCACCCGTGCTGCCCTGGCTGCATCTCGGAGACTGACGACCACTTGTCCAGCCGACGAGACAGGGTAAGGCGAGGCGACTGAGCGAAATAACGACGGCCTGGATCTGCGAAACTACGGCCACTCAAGTACCAAGTACGGCAGCAAAGCCTTCGGCTCGCACAACTTCACACCTTTGCCAGCTGTACCGCGTACAAAGTCTCACCGAACCATCCACTTGCCCAATCAGACATTCTATCCCTGTTACCATGAAATGTACCACTTTTCGGCTCGCTTTCAAACATTGTTCCATGGTCCTTGATTGATTGACTCGTGCTGGGCAACCTTGCCTCCCAGGATCCTCGGAACCAGAGGAGGCACAGAGCGTTGACCAACTCTCAAGAGGGCCCGAGATTGGCGAACCCGACCACGAACAGCCACTTTCAACCCGTACTCTTTTACTCTTTTCACCGCCAATGTACAAACGCTCATATGGTTGATAGCCATTCACCCGTTAACAGATCGTCCAGCTGGACGTTCAATAGACGCCCAGCACCTATCATGTGGTGCTAGCGTCAGCGGCTTCTCTCCTGCAAGTGTGTGGATGTATACCTCTTCCCTCTCACTCTCTCATTTTCGTTGGTCAGCGTACAATAAGTCCAGAGCGAAATTGCTGTGCTTCATTGCTCAACACGAACGGGGAAATTGAAAGAGGCGCCAGAGATCCAATGAAGCTTAACGGAGCCGGCGCACAACTCCAGCGGCTACCATTAAGCAATGGCGCCCTATCCGGTCGTGTTCTCGACCCTCAATAATAAGCGCTCACAACTCATCTCTCTCCTTACCACAGGCTCCCACAGGCTACCGCCATGCGAGAGACCACATACTGCAGTCCAGCAAATAAGGTGGCAACGGCGTTTTCCCTCACGTTCTGCCACTAATGTAGCGCTATGCAGATGGGATCTAACCCCGGCCTAGAGTCCCAGCGGAAAGGCCGGGGTGAAAAACAAGGGTTCGTTGGCCGGCCTGGTCTGTACGGGCCAATTCGCCCAGGTGCTCTTTTGGTGTCATCCAACCTCTCCACCAAACCCCTGGATTAGCGTTCATGGGGCTGGATGTTAGTAGGCGTTGTGTAATTTCCCACTCTGTGTGTCTCGTTCCATGTCGCTCACTCACCCTCACTTGCTGCTGCTGTTCATGGGCGTTGTTGGCGGAGTGCCTAGCGGAGGAAACGGGAGGGGACCTGACTGACTCTCTCACACACGCCCACACACCTTGTTCTCGCTCTCATTCTCACTCGCCCATTCATACCGGGGAGAGGGGCCGTTTGAGTAAAGGACTCGCACTCGTCCAACATGGCCTATTAATATGCTGCCATCCTCCCCGTTCGCTTCAGACCTCTTCTTTTTCTTACCTCTTCAGCCAAACAAGCCTCATCAATCTCAAGCATCCGCTTTTGACTCAACTTTGACTTCGGTCGTCCATTCTTTACCAAAGCTCTCTGCTTAAAAACACTCGCTCTCTTAATCCAACAACCAACAACTTCGTTTTCACGAAAACCCACCCCCAATAACTCTATTCAAGATGCGTTACGCTGCTGTCGCCCTCGCCGTCGCTGGTGCCGTCATGGCCACCGCTGACGAGCCCGCCTCCACCGTCTTCTCCACCAAGTACTTCACCATCACCTCCTGCGCTCCCGAGGTCACCAACTGCCCTGCCCGCAGCACCGTCGTCTCCTCCAGCGTCGTGGCCGTCCCCACCACCCCTGCCGTCTCTGTCACCGAGTCCGGCGTCAAGCCCACCGCCACCGCTCCCGTCGTCGTCGTTCCTCCCCCCTCCGGCGGCAACAGCACCGCTCCCCCCTCCGTCCCCGCGGTCCCCAAGCCCACCACCGAGAGCGGTGCTAAGCCCGTCCCCGTCACCACCGGCGGCGTTGCTCCCTCCGTCTCTGCCCCCGCCACCCTGGCCACCAGCGCTGCTGCCTCCGTCTGCGGTGGAAGCTCCGTCAAGACCATCTCTACCAGCGTCACCACCGTCATCCCCACCGTCATCTACGAGACCGTCCAGATCCCTTGCCCTACCCCCAGCAAGCCCTCTGCGACTATCCCTGGTGTCCCTACCGGTGGCAACGGAACGTGAGTACTCCCCTGATATCAAACACTTGAAGAAGACAAAGAATCAAGATGCTAATTCTCCAAACCAGTGCTGTTCCCCCCACCAAGACCCCCGTTACCGCCGGTGCCGCTGGTCTGACCGGCTCCGCCATCCTGGCCGCCGTCGCCGGTGTTGCCGCCTTTGCCTTCGCATAAATTCCTTCTTCTGGACATCTCTTCTGAGGAAAAGCCAACCAAGGCTACGGCAGTTTACGATCAAATCTAACGGGTGTTCTTTTTTGCTGGGGAGTCTTAAGAGGAAATGTAAAAAGAGCCCTTTCTTCTCTTTGTACATTGTATCTTAACGGAATGCAAAAAAATACCATTTGTACCTAATCTTCTAATTGTATTTGGGGGACGTCTGGGATGAGCAAAGTTGAAGTCGCCTTGCGATTGAGACATCGAGCGCGAGGGACTTTAGCTTGGTTCACTCCCGACGACCTGGCTTTAACGACGAAGTGTTTGGGGAAAACCTATCTTTACCAAAAGTGATGATTCGCAATGTGACATTTGTTGCCCAGAATGGTTGATGAAGGTGATATTGGAGAGGGGGATGTTCCTCAAGTGAGGTGACATCCGCCCTACAGCGACCTTCCCCGGACTTTTTCGAAACGCCTCACAACTGAGAGATTAGACTGCAACTATCCGCATTGATCATCATCCCTCCCCTTCTGCGGACGACTCCGACGGCACCGAAATTCATCAGCTCATACTATCTTATCCGTACGGTACTAATACATCGAACCGAAATCATCAGCAGACAATATAAGCAGCCAATCGAAACGGAATCGAACGAACCACTGCCACTGTGGACGACTTTTTCGGCCAAGACTTGGACGGACGTCTATGCAAGGAACAAGGAGGACCGGGCCTGTCAAATGGTCTTAACCACGCACCCCTTCACCTTCTCACTCTCAGTGTGTGTCTCTCTCGCACAGGCACAGGCACAGGGGGTCGCGAAAGAACAACGGCCCTTGGGCCTTACCCCACAGGATCAACTTTGAGGGACTTTCGGGAGATTACGATTTGGACGAACGGGTGGCCGCGATTGGTCGGACGGTACCCCGGTCGCAATTTGGACGAAACGCTCGGCTCCGCCCAATGGGAAGAACGGCTTCCCCGACGACTTCTGTTGAATGCACCTCTCTGTCTTTGCTGCAGCCTGCACAATTGTTCAGTTTCCCTGTCGTTATGCACATCATACGAACAGCGCAAAGCCTGCGGTCAAGGTTCACCGAGGGAACGGCGAAGATGAGGGGAGGGGAGAGGGGATTGCACCACACATCCCATCCATGCAATGGGGGAAGTTTCGAAAAAAGAGTCAGCCTGGCGCCGGAAAAGGAAGGCGAATGGACGAGAGAGTCTGGAAGTTCTGGGCCGCATCCCATGATCTCCCATTGATCGCTCCTCAAGGATGCGAGGCGCAGTTCCGCCTTTCATTTCGGAGGATATTTTCTATCCTTTTTTTGGTCTTTTTTGAACATTGGAGAACTTGTGGGTCCCCTTCCCCGTTCATGCAAAGCTGCAAATCCCCCATTTCCGCCTTTTGTCATGCTGCGGGTATCCGTACTTTATGATGAATTCGTACGGATACGTCTGCGGATCGTCGGATACATCGTTTCTGCAATGTTCCCGGGAGTCTGGGGAGATGAAATGAAGAGGTTTTGGATGAGCTGTGGGGGGGCCATTTCTCGGTCTCTGCCGAGAGGTTGGGCTTCGTTTCCATTGATCGACAGTATATGCCTTTTGGTTGTCGTTGCTGCTGTGATGCTGGCTGGCCGTGGGGTACTGCCGGTGTTTTTATGTTTGGTCATTGAATGTGTGCGTGTTTGGTCTTTTGCGGTCTTCTCGCTGCTATTTGACAGCTCACTATCGTCATCACGTTGCTAAGCCGTGAAGCAATGGGAAACCTCAGTTTGAAGGGCCTTTGTTTCTTCTTCCTTGGGCTCAGGCTTTTGCCGGTCGAGAAGCTACTTCCACCACGGGTCGAGAGTCGTGTTTTGCCTGGTCTGTTTCGACAGCTCCATCCAGCCATCCTCTGATCCTCCCCTCACGTCTGTATTTCGAAACGCAAAGTTGATGGTTAGAAAGACAGTGTTTCTCCGTCATCTCTCCCCACAGTCCAAAGTGGCCTTTCAGCAGCTCTAATTGCTGCTCAACTGCATCTAAACCCTGGGTGTAGTCACCTAAGCAGATATGGAGGTGATCTCTCGTGGGGAAGACGCAGACATTGATTCCCGGATTGAGTGGTAGTTGCCCTCTGCAGCCGTATCGAAAGAAATGCCCTCCACCAGTTCAACTGTCACAATTGACGTTGCGGAAACAAACATCCTTACCAGCGGTACTTTGCCTCCCGTGGGTCACCTCAGCGGCGGTCTCACACGATGGGGCGATTTCGAAAGTGCGATGTTCATCTTTACGTTATCCTCGATTCAGCGTCAAGATCAGCAACGCAACATACGGCGCACGATGTCTCGGCCTCACATCATGGATCAGTAACTGAGAAGTTCCTCCTCCCCCTTTCAACCCTGGCGGCATACACGACACCGCTTTTCACGGTCCCCTCCTCTGTGAACACTAAACATGGTCTGCCGGTGCCGCAATGCGGCGTACGGTTGACCAGTAAGCCGGCAAAACGGCCGCTGAAGCATGATTGATACCTGGTACAAAACCGGCTTTTACCATGTTGACTTATCATCTTTTGTTTCATTGGTATCCTAGACCACTGGCATCGGTGTCGATTCGTCGCTATTTTGGACCTCAAGCATTACCACGTGAAGAGACTATCTATCGCTTAACGGTCCCATAGGCTAGCTCATCAGAGTCTATGTGGAGAGAGTGTCTTCTCGAAGAATGTCATGCAAAAACGTTTCTGTCAAGTGTCTCAGAGGAAGAGGGTTCTACTTCCTGATTGCCGAATTCGAATAGAAACAATTTTCAGTTGCAAGCCTCCTTTATCAGCTTCAAACCGTGGCCTAAGAACATCTGAATCGTCAACCTCTGCGGCCTCTCGAAGTTGAAAAGGGATCTTTGAAGTACATCTCACTTTTAATCTTAGACAAGGTCGCTCGTCCTTAGAGACAAGGAAACTTTCACAGAATGGACATGTTTGATGTAGAATACCGTTTCCACCCAGCAGGGCTGCGGTTTGGGCCAAACGACTGGCGACCCATGTCTGCCAAGTCCATTTACAGTGCTGGGCCTAAAGATAGCTTCAGCCTCAAAGGCTGTGAATGTGCATATTTGTCGCGTTGTATGGCCATTGTACAGCATAAGTGCCGACTTATTCGCAGTAACACTAAAATCTCATTGTCAGTAAATGACAATACTCTTGTTTCGCAAATGCTTAGTTTCAAGTATACTCTGAAGTCGTATCGTCCAAGTAGCGCCTGCTTATTGTTCTTTTCTCCCTTCCCATCGACTAGTTCGTTTCCCTCGGCTACGTCCGATGCTTGCGCCAAGGGTTCGTCTTTCGTATTGAGCACGCCCGAGGTATTGAGCTACGTAGAGTATTGCGTAGAAGTGGTATCAAATGTCACACAGCCAAGTTTGGTTTGCGTGCGAAAGTGCAGTGGGAAAGTGGCATTGCTCGCTTTTCCACCTGGGCAAGACCACCTAACTTACACCGCCGCCCCTTTGACCTTCTTTCTCTAAGTATTTGAACTTTGAAATACTGAAGCTACTTGCGTAATGACCGCTAAAGGTAATGAATGAAGTAGCTATAGTCTCATCCGATAATGGGTTAGACGACGGCGTTAAACAAGGGTCAGAGTTGAAGGCTACAAAAAAAGACTGCCCCTGACCAAAAGCCGCGTTGCTTGTCGAGGACTCTGCCGTTTCGGAGTCGGCTCCACTTACATTGGTCCGGGACGGCGGTTCGAACACGGGCCGAGAAGGTGTGCTCGACCGGCGGCCCCCATGCCTTGAGGGTCTACTTTGCGGCCGCCAAGGTACCCTGCCGCATCAAAACAACCCCAACCGGCGTCTTGCAGTTGACTAAGCTTTGCCATACCGTGCGGCATCTCAATGAACGAAAGAGCGAGTTACAATTCTTCAAGAGATCGGGTTCATGCCTTGACGAAGCCGTTGGCAGTTCTTCGACCGACGGGGTCCCACATCCATTTTTTCTTTATTGAAGTTGGAGTGGGCTAGGATTCAATCTCAGGTAAAGGCTACACTTTGTTGGCTCTGATGGCGCGATTCGACCGTTCTTCGATCGAGCCTTGGCGTTCGGCGTCAAACAGAGCATCGGAGCTTACGTTGCCAACGGCTTAACCCAACGCCGATGCCGACTCCGACCGCTGGGGCCCGACGGACGGGGGCAGATGGCTCAGCCGTCAGCATAGAGTGGAATTTAAAGCAACAAGTCCAGAGACCATCCATTTCAAAGGCCAGAAAATCTGCCAAGGGTGTTTGGTCTCGATACATTCATCGTCAATGACACGTCGACTTTGCAGGCCTCTTGAATTCACCAGTAAGGCAAGGATGCAGGCAAGGTCTGCAAGCGCCCCAGCCCTAGAGCCTAAAAATCATCCGACGTCCGTTATCAGCACCGCCAACCGGGAAAGCCACGCGCATCATCCCATCACTTTCGCTCTTACCGAACACGTCGTCCCAACCCAATCGTCATCGAATGTAGGTAGATAAACCTGTCATCCCGTCTCACTGGAACGGACGTTAGCTTACCTTAGCCCGGGATGGTCCCCACTCATTCCGCTCGCACTCGGCACGCACAGACCAGGCATATCCTACCTCCGACCGCCGATTTCTCCACTCATTTTCTTTCCTTCTTCCACTGAGCTGAGAGATTGGAGCTCAAGGCCGGCCCCACTCCCGCACTCGCTTAATTCCAGCTAAGCAAGCTAAGACAACCAAACAGCCAAACCTGCGATGATCGAAGCCCAGCCAGGCGTGCCATACAACCAGCCAAGCCTCTCTTCTTACCTCCGTCCGTCGTTCCCTCTCTTCGTTGCTGGGCGTGAAGCCTGGTATGGAGTCACAAGAAGTACACCAAGAAACGGGGAACTGAAAACTGTCCCTATGCCGTTTGCGCCAACCAACCAGGGTCTCTGGAATCAGCCTCCTGTTTGATTCTCCGTCCACATCGACCATCATCCTCCCTTGGCAGCCTACCTAGTCAAGCCACCCGCCCGATGCGAGATGTCTCTGCCCTCCCGTCGATGCGGATGCGAGAGAAAATCTCAGGCGCCGCCATTCCCTTTCCCACGCGCCCGTCACCCGTAGGACTGACTGGGCGTTTTCCATTCCCCCACGTCTACGCCTCTTTTTTCTTCCTTTTCCCTCCAGGCTGGCCTACGTGAGCTTATTCCTGATCACTCCAAAGTCTAAGAGAATGCGAGAGGTGCCTTGTTCCTGGTATCCGGTCACTAGTTAGTGGTGACGACTTATCCTGTTCGTTCGTTCACGGTTGGGGCTCCCGCTCAGCCCAGGAGCCCGGTCTAGCGAAGTAGAGCGAAATGAGAACAAACCCTTACTCCCTATCGAGAAATGTCTCTCTCCCTGCAGATAAAGCGTATATATTATCTACCCTCTTTCCCCGTGCTCGAAATGAAAGGTGCGATGTTTGCTTGTGGATTCCCAAACTGCTTCACCTTAGCTAGGCCCGAGCTCGAACAATCCGACTGTTTAAGACATCCCCTTAAATCCTCTGGCACGTAAACACAACGAGACAAGATAAGGAGCACGACAACCACCTCGACTACTTACCCTTCACACGCAACTCTTCCCTTCTACTTTCTTTCCTCACCTCCAGAAGTAGAACTCCACCGACTCACCGAAAACGAAAAGAAACATCACCACCATCAACAACAATGGCCGGCCCACCGCCCCCTCTCCCGCCCTACATCGTAACCTTCGGCCCCAAGTCAAATTGCACCCTCGACATCTGCCCGCTTGAGTACAGCCTGTACAAGTACCGCCCCAACCTGGCCGTCAACATCCTCTTCCTCGCCCTCTTCGCCCTCGCCGGCGCTGTCCACGTCGTCCTCGGCATCAAGTGGCGCCAGTGGTGGTTCATGGCCTTCATGCTCGCCGGCTGCCTCAGCGAGATTGTCGGCTACGTGGGCCGCATCGTCATGTACAAGAACCCGTTCGAGTTCATCGCCTTCATGCTCCAGATCGTCTTCATCACCAGCGGACCTGTGTACTACACCGCCGCCATCTATGTTACCATTTCAAAGGCGTAAGTGTGTATTTTTGTTATTCTCTGTTCTTGGGACTCTTGTTCAGGTTTCGCTTTCATTGCTTTTTCCTATCTGGACTTTCTTTTCTTTTTCACTTCCCATCCCGTGAGGGCTCATTGACAGCTGTCTCATCGTTGTAAACCCCCTTACTTCCTCACACAGCACGTCATAATCTAAGATCATGCGCATCTGAGTCTTCTCTCTCTCTCCCGGCCGAAAAGCAAAACATAGCAGGGGGCCCGGCTCGATATAGCACCACATTCATTAACCCAAGAAACAATCAAACAATAAAACTGACTCAGACACACACAGCATCGAATCCTTCGCCCCAGAGCTCTCCCGCATCCCCACAAAGTACATCTACTGGCTCTTCATCTCCTTTGACGTCTTCTGCCTCGTCCTCCAGGCCGCCGGCGGCGCCCTGAGCACCACCTCCTCGGGCAGCTCCGACGTGGGCGTCGACCTCGCCATGGCCGGCCTCGTCATCCAGGTCATCGTCCTCGTCGCCTTTTGTTCGCTTTTCGCCGACTACATGATCCGCTACACGCGGTCCGACGTCGCGCGGGCGCTGACGCGTCGCGAAAAGACGTTTTTCGGGTTCCTCGCGCTGGCGGTCGTGCTTATCCTCGCGCGGTGCGCCTACCGTGTCGATGAGCTTAGTGAAGGGTATTCGAATTCGGATAAGATTACGAATGAGGGGTTGTTCATTGGGTTGGAGGGAGTGTAAGTCTCTTACCCCTTATTGGAACAAGCAGTCGGGGGGCGCTGAAGCTAACATGTCGTTCACAGACTCGTCATCTGCGCTGTCTTTTCACTGTGCCTTGGACACCCCGGGCTCCTGTTTGGCAAGCCTCAGGCTTCGAATGGTGTGAGAAAGGAGTCGAGTGTAGAGAGCGGCACCGAGAGTGCTGCGGCTGAGGTGGAGCGCAAGTGATTTCAGATACCATTCTGCAGAGCGGGACTCGATTTAGCAGTGTATTTTCTCTTTGCGTTACTCTTTCTCGTTGATTTACACGTTGATGAGCGGACATCGAAGCGTAGCTCTGTTGCTCTCACCTTGATTGGTTTTGGGTTTCCTACGGCATTAGAAGCGATATCAGTATGACATGAACACATAGACACGGCGATTAACGACACTAAAGACCATTGAATCATATCCAACAGGACTAGCAAATAATCCAGCCCATTGCATTGAAAACGCCTGGTGCCAGTGACGTAGCTGCCAGCAAACTTGCATTTACGAAACAGTACAATTTCAATGGCCAAGCGCCTTCTCCTACTTCGTGTCGTCGGGCCGATCTACTGTCCCTTTTAAAGAGCGGCTGGTTCTTGTTGCCCATTGCTGCGCTCTTCTAGTGACCAGAAACCCGTAACTGGTCCTCGAATGGGGTTGGATGTGTTATCGGCTGTGTGGTTTTCAGTGTCACGAGTAGGCGTCGTTGAAGACCCTACAGGTGATGGCATCTTGTTTTCATCGGTCACGTTCAGGGCAGGTCGGCTTCGCGATCGGCGTAGACCTTGATAAGCTGTCCGTCGACCACAAGTTCCCAAAGGCTCTAATCTCGTTGCCCCAGGTGTCTTGTGATCAATGGGCTTGAACGCGTCGCGGGGATCGCAGTTGAAGTCGGCACGATCCGTCATCTTGAAAGGCAGGATAGAAGCCCCCGCCCTACAATTCCCTCATGGCCTTGCGTATTCCAAGACGACTAAAGGTAAGAAAGGAAGTGCTCGTGGGAATCGACAGTTGATAGTCTGGCCGGCCCTGGAAAGTCGATTTTTCGTAACTTTTCACCACACTCTCCAGCATCAGACCAAGACATCGACCTGGAAACGTTCGACATAACCATCGACATGATGGCCGATACTGAGGAGAGAAAAGATATGGTCAAATGGCTATTTTATATCTAGACATTGCTTCGTAAAGACCCTGATGTATACCAAACGCATGCAGTTGGCGGAACATGCAATCGACATTTTGCCGGAAGCGCGCGATTTCAGCTACAACTGCTGGATGAGTGATTTTCAAGGAGTAGTGGTCGCTACCCCGGCTCATTATTTTATCCCAATTGATCCTCACCCAGGAGCTCTGTTCCGAGCCAGACATATCCGGGCTCAAGTCCCTGATCTTCCTTGGGCCGGCGCTGTCGAAACCTTCCATTCCAGAAAGGCAGCAGTAGTCCCACCGGAGCTTTCTTTTCGTTCATATTCGAGCAGAAGTTCTTCATTCCATTGGAAATGCTACCATATCGCCATTAATGCAATTGGAATATCCGTGAGTGAGCTTTCAAATGCATGTCAAGCCCATCTACTCAACTCACACGCAGTTTGTCAATGACGTTCTATACGGCAGCTATCCATGCCCTGCAACCAAAATCCCGTTCTTCGAAAATTGATAACGACAGTCGACCAAATATCCATCCATACCTGCATTGAGACTCTGGTACTAATGTTTAGGCACCGGATGTTACCGGCGAAACCCCCGCTTCGGCCAACTAGCCCCATTTCTCTCGTGTCGTTCAAGGGGCATCTCCAACTTCGCCGATGTTTTACGATGTTCTTCAGGCTTCAAGAAGACCCCATCCAGCTGATGTTGTTTGTAGTTGTTGTGATTTGTTCAGTAGTGGACTTGTCGACTCCGAGAACTCCACCGTTGCATGTTACCAAGGCTACTGCTTTCCACTACAAGAAAGAGGTTCATCTAACCATACCCTCCGTCAACTTTCCTTGTATATTCTTTTATGTATATATGCTAGAGAGTGACTGACCATTAGCTAGATTAGTATGCTCTCTAGCTTGAATAGACGGTTCATAACCTGCCTAATCATCTTTTGCCACTTTGCCCAGGAACCCGGCACAGTCTCGTCTTGGAAAGGACAAATGGGATATCTCCAAGTTGCTGTTCTATCTTGGTATTGGCTACTCTTATACTTATAGAACTAGAAACTCGTATTTCCAACTGTATCATCCTCTTCATCGTTCACCTTGAGTTGGCTGGCCACCTCGAGCCATGTAGAAGCCAAAATGTATTGCCCATTTCTACAACTACGCTGCACACCGCACATTGAACACACACAGAGACGGATAAGTAAAAAACAAACCCTTCAGTCTGCAATGCGTCTTGACAGAGAAACAATGACAGAGCAGAAAAGCTGAGGGAAAGACATTTCTTCTAGATCCAGAATATAGAATACCCGATGTCAGAACGCTGGATACGTTCCTCTCCGTTGACCAAGATCCCTCTTCGTGGAGCGTTAGTCTGCGGGACTTTTGAAGCAGACCGTAGAGGATATCGTAAATGGATTTGATCGCCCTACACTCCGTCTCTAGGGATCCCCCCCCCCCGGAGCGCAGAATGGAGCAGGTGGCTTACAAGGGGAAGAGCGCAGGCCTCCACAACGACATCCGGAGTGACAGCTTTGAGATTACCTAGTGGTCGCACAGGACTCTCCAGGCTTATTCTCAACGCGTTTGCGTTGTTGCGCCGGCTCGTTAGCCAGTATCCCGATGATAGCTATTCGTGTCAATGGGACAGCCCCCCCCCCTGCTCGAATCCCACTAGTTCTCATGCCTCTGCCATTGGGACGTGTAATTGCTCTTGTTCACACGGCACATTGGGAAGTGACCTCCAAGGTCGCGCATGCAAGACTCCCGCCGTAGGAGGCCGTCGGGAAGAGGTATCTTAAGACACATGCTCCAGCTATAATTTCGTGATTCACCTTGTGCGACAAAATTGACAAGAAGCCGAACCTCCCCGGCCTCCTTCGTGATATTGTCAGTTGCGCTACATATACTACCCCACGAGGCTTTGCGCATTTTTTAATCGAGCACGCTTGTTTCCTGCTAGATGAAGGTGGCATATGAATCGTGATGCAGGCGCCACAGCGACCTTCATCTTCGTCCTTATCATCGACAATGTAATTGGTAGATATTCATACTGAAATACGCAAAAGACGGGAATCGTGGAAAGATGACAGCCAAAAAAGGATCTTGACTTCTGAACCCCTGGTGTCAACGCAACGTATATGTCGTGCGGACTTTTGTCTACAGCAAGCGGACTCACCCCGCTACTTACCCATTACCGACCGAAGCTGCCAAATTCTGCACAAGAGTGAGACGATCCGGCTATTTACATCTGTAATCAAATGCCGACCCCCCCCACTCCTTCTCGGTTAAACCAAGAAAAGAGTTTAAGCTGGATTCTGCCGATAGAGCCGCGTCGACGTGTATAGTTTTCATCAAGAAATAGAAGAGAACATGTGGACGGTTGCGCAGTCAGAACGCGGTATCCCTCACACTTCCTTCAACAGCCCACTGAGCAACGACCCTACCGCTAGCTCGAAGGATATCAACACCATGCGTGAACCAAACAGCTAGACATCTGTTAGCAAGACCCCACTCACCCGAATGACATGACCATCATGGCCTCGCAACTCTTCAATGCATCTGCCGTCCGCCGCATCTGACCTTCAGGACCTGGGATAACTTCCAAGGTATCCAAACAGCTACCCCAAATCCTCATACAAGCCGACATACCCCTAAGGTACCTCAAGAAAAAAGAAACGTTCACAAAATACGACAACACGCAGCCAACCCCTGGATTTCTATCTATCCCATTGCCTTTAATCGCCTATTTCATCCTTGCTATCTAATGAGCCTTATTGCCGACCACCGCGTCGATCGCGCTGAGCCAAGTGCGCCGATCCCCGAGAACATGGAACATCCCCACTCACACCCCGTCTCCGCGCCAGACACGGCCCCACCGGACCTTCAGCAACCCCCGCTCCGCCCCTCACTTCGGCTCCCCCGCATCGTCCCCGGCCCGGGCGACTAATCCACCTCCTAACCCCGACAGGGCTAAAGACATTTCTCGATATCGTCATCTCAGAGAGTCACATCCAGCATCGTTCAACCTCATCGCAGCCAGACCCATACCTTCAGTCACTTTTTCGTCAGGTACCTCGACAGCGAATCAATGATGCAACTTCTTCGTTCATGCAGACAAAAAAAAATAAAGAATAGTTTTGGCTTCGCCAGCATTTCAGCTCAAGCTCTAGCTCTAGCGTTCAACTAAAATGAGAGCGCCCATAACGCCGTTTCCTCATGCTGTAGATTCTGCAGCTTCCTCCATGGAGCTAAGCTGACAACTCAGCTTGGGGTTGCAAAAAAAAAAAAGTGTGACCAACCTTCCATCATGAGATGCGTGCAAGTTTTGCCCAGCGATTAACCCTCTCTGACAATAAATCAAGCTCTCCCTCCTCCGTGCTCAATAGGACCCGATTTGACAATGGGGATATGTCCCAATCCCATCTTCAGGCAGACCAAAGGTCTTCCCCTCCATACTGCCCCCTCATCTCCCTTCTCTGAACCATGATGATGGCGCAGTCGTATCATCAACCCGTTTGCTGCGACGAAACATCATGCAAGAATAAAAAAAAATGTCCTGATGCAGGACGCGGAACGCGAAACGCGGTCGACGATGAGTCGAACCGAAACGATGCAATGCAAGTTTCCCCAAAATAAAACGCCTTTTTTCACCAACCCCCAAAAAAAACCCAAGATATATCCATCCAACCCCCAACGGCGCGTCATGACGAAGTAGAAACGGAGGATGACGAACCCCTCGCCAAACTGAGCAGACTGCTCACGATACCACCCGAAACAGCACTCGTCGGTTCGTCTTCGTCGTTGCCAGCTTTGAGGTTATCCATGTCCAGACGCGGCAGCACGCCGGCCACGCTTCGAGGTTCCTTCTCTACCTGTACCTGTGCCTGTGCCTGGGTCGTCGCCGCTTCGGCCTCGGCGGACTCCTGCGATTGCTCGGGTTCGTCCGTCTCAGTCTCCTCGACGACCTCCTCCTCGGTTCTCTCCTTCTCGGGAGGACCATCGCGGCTTGACGGCGGCTGCACCATGACCCTCGGCAGGGCCGTCTCCGTTGTCTGCGTCTGCGCTTGCACCTTCGTCTCCTGTTGCTGCTGCCCCGGTCGCGGCTTCACCTCCAACTTATCAAGCGGTACGTTCTCCTGCCCCGTCTGGAGCTTGTAATTCGCGAGTCCGAGTTTCAGTCGAAGGATCCGAGCTTTCTATAATACCAGACCATCCAAGTCAGCAATCAATCAGATCAAGGTATCATCTGAGTACCGCAATGGGAGAAAACAGTTCGTACCTGACGCGCCTCCTCGCGGGTCAATAACCTTCTCGGCCTCGGCGGCGGTACGGTCCTAGCCTGCTGCTCTGCGTCGGGCTCGGTGAGGATGGTGGTGTTTTGGGACGTGTCCATGGCCGAAGTGTCGAACACGGCCGACGTGTCGGCAGGGGACGCGGAGCGGGTTCGCGGTGTCTCGTGCTGCGACTCTTCCCGCTGCTGTTCTGGCAGTTCGTGCTCGCCCTGCACCACCTCGAGTTCTGGTTGTTGTGGTTGTTCGCTGTGCTGGTTCTGCTCTTCTGATTGTTCGCTCTGAGTCTGTAAAACGGCACGCGCGTATCAGCACACCAATTCCCAATGTATGTAGTCAATTGACCTCTTTTCTTGAGATATCTTACCTCCGTGGCATCGGGATCAACGTCCATCTCCATCTCCGTCTGTGCGGGCGCCGGCGCGGGAGTCGGTGCGGCCACGGATGTAGATGGAATGGCAGTAATTGGTGAAGTAGCTTCAGGTGCCAATGCAACTTCTCGCGCAGGTGCAGCTACAGCTACGGGCGCAGCAATAGTATTAGTAGTAGTAGTAGCAGCATCAGAAGAAGCAGCAAGAGCAGAGGCGGGCTCCTGGCACTGCTTCTTCTTAGGAACGAGTGCGTTCTCGTCAAAGATGTCGACGGTAGCGGCGGCAAAGGACCTCTTGAGATTGAGAGACTTGACTGGGCTGCTGCTCTTACGCGGTGATTGAGGCGCCGCGCCCAGCTTGGAGTGTTTGTGCAGCTTCGTGGGCGACGATATCGCGTTCACGTTCGCGTCCAGGGGCGCGAGGGCGCGTCTCTTTGCCGGCGATGAGGGGTCCATGACTCTTTTTTTTTTTTTTTTTGTGCTGTACGTGGATGTGTACTGTGTGTATGCGTGTTTGTGTTGATGGGGGTAGAGACCGTGTTATGTGTATACCTGATGTTTCCTTTTTCTTCTTCTGCACCACCGTTGAAGCTTGGAGGAAAGGGAGCTTTGGGGAAAGGGAAAGGGAGGGGAGAGGATGGAGTTGGGGGTCTGGATCTTCGTAGCGGTTGATTGGAGGTTAGGTGGGTAGGGTAGTTTGACGGGATGGGAGAGAGCGTGTTGGTGTGGAGGAGGGGGGAGGGATGAGGAGGGTTGGAAAGAGGCAGAGTAAAGCACTAAGCTTAGCTAAGAGCCCCAGGGTAGTACCTAGTAGAGGTGCTCGGAGGGAAGAAGGGGATACGGAGAAGAGAGTGAGAGTGAGAGGAAGAGAGAAAAGGAAAAGGAAAAGGAAGAGGAGAGAGTTGCTATTCCCACTCAAATCGCCAATTTACAAAAAAGCTCTCAAGCGAACTTCTCAGAGCGTGTTTCGTGGCGTGCCGTGGATGGAGCTGGGCGGCGTGCTGTGCTGGGGTGGGAGAGGTACGCTCCAGAGCCCGTCACACGTCCAGTGTTAAGGTACCTTTACCTCTGAGCCTGAGCCTGAGCCTGAGCCTGAGCCTAAACCTAACCCGAACGAATGAAGAACGGCTCCCGCCCGCGTGCAGCTGTAGCAACACAAGAATGCGGTAGCTAACCCACTGAACTTGAGCCTCTGAGCCTCTGAGGTGCTTCTCTCCCGTCCCGTCCTCTGCCCGTGCGTTTTATTTTCTAAACAAAACAAATAACAGCAACAACTGTTTGTTGACGTTTGACATTTTGACGTCTGATGTTGTTCCAGTTGCTCAACGTTATCAGAAAAAAAGAAGAAAAAAAAGAAAAAAACCTTGACCCTTTGGAGAACGTTAGGGAGAAGAGATGAATTTCTCACAACCCAAGGGGGAAAGGGGAAAACGGGAGCTGTTCAATGTGTGTGTGTTGGTTAGGTATTCAAATGGAATATGACAGTGATCCAGTGTCACACACACAGACAAAGACGCGTAAATGGGTGGTGCGGTGCACCTCTTTACCGTTTTGTCTGAGAAGGAATATGTAAATGGGTAGCGTCTCAGGCATGCTGAGGAAATGTTCCATTGAAACCTGGCCCGGGACCGCGTAGCCCGCGTAGCCCGCGTTGGTAGCGCACTTTTCCGGTTTCTTCACTGCATGAACCTCGCTGTAAGATGGGCTGTAGACCTGGCAAAAAAGAAAGAAAGAAAGAAAGAGTAAGGAAACCGCCCCAAAATCGCGGCCCGCTTCATCGCCCCCCCTGTTTGGTGGCTGGCATCTCAGTCGCGTACCCCTGCTGCGTCAAAGTCCAAATCCGCCCGCGGCACGTCACCGCTTTCGTCGGGTCACCTACCTTACCTAGGTACCTTGGCACGCTGCACCGCTGAGAGTTTCCAACAGTCAGGGATTTTACAGTGCATTATAGCGCTCTTCAAAGGGGGGGGGGAGGGGACGGACCTAGAACTACTTACTATACAATGTTGCAGAGCGCGGCTTACATAAGTACACCAACAACAACCTGCAGGAAAAAGTCTCCAGAGGCGCGTTGCAACTTTCCAGGTTTGCAAGGGTCCGCCTAGCCACCTCACCCGTCGATCACATCTGGCCTAGCGCTAACGAAACATGAAAATGCAGGTACCGGGGGGCATACGCACCGCACCGTTCAGGGTCCACGCTGCTGGGATCGACATGACACCCTTCCCGTCAACTGTTAGTCAAGGTAATTGAGGTACTATCAACACCACGCGTCGCTGGCGTTGACACTGGCGCTGACTGGCATGGGCTCGTCCTCCCTCCTCCCTCTTGTCATTCTCGACCGTCTTCTCTTTCAACAGAGCTTCTCTATTTCCTCGCCTTCAAGTAGGAAACCCGAGCAAAGTTTAGCATCTCACAACCACAGTCTAATGACACGCTCATTTGTAAACTCGGGTATCATTCCTCTCGCCCTTGCGAGAGCTGCGCCGACGCTTTCGTCTTCGCCAAGGAAACTAACTAAAACAATTCGGCCTCCCCCCCTCGATACATACAACGCGTAGAAGTAGCTGTCTCTCCAAATGAAATAATCTTCAAAAAGACAGGCAAAGAAAAGATAGGTAAAAGGTAATCATCTTCGTCGCATCCTCAAACCACTCAGACCACGCACCGACAGAACCTTGTCCGTGCCACGACTGCTCAAACAACTTTCTCCGTATACCAATCAAAAAAACCACAAACGCTCGAAAAAGAGACCAGCACAGAGCCTGCACACTGAGCCAGTCTGCAACCCTGCCAGAGGAACGCCGAATCCTTTGCTTTTCCCAATGCTAACCTTGCCCACCCATCCAATGAACCGGCTGGTCGTCATTCGTGGAATTCTCTTCCGGGGTATCCAGCATCCGCTTTCCATCGTATTTGTCGGTCACTTCTTTTTAAACCCTCTCTCTGATTCCTCTTCGTCACTTCGCCTCTCGTCTCTGTTCTTCACATCGACGACGAGACATCGAGTGAGTATAGGCTGTTGTCGAACTGGAACGGCTTGTTGAAGTCGTTCGTCACTTCATCCCAGTTAGGGAACTGCTCCATCGGCGCCATCGCCTCCTCTAGCATCAGCCCCTCAAATTCGGCCCCGCCGTCAAGTCCGTCCATGTTAATGTTGTTCATATCGAGAAGCACGTCCATGTCGACTGGTTGCCAGTTGAGGTCAATGTCCAAGTGGACACCCTCTGAAATATCGCTGTTGGGCTCCGATGATCCGCTGTCCTTGCTCGACTCGGGTGTATCGTTCGGTGTCTGCGACCGGTACACGGCCATGTCGCTGATGACGCCGTTGGCGCCCAACTCGAACTTGCCGAGGTTGTTGAACAGGCTCTGGGGGTTGATCGTCGTTGCCCACGCATCCATCGCCGGAGCCGGTGCGGCCGCCATCTCGGGCTGCTTGTGCTCCATCTTGGGAGTGCTGTCCGTCTTGCCAACCGCAAGCTTGTTGTCCTGTGCTTTTCCTACCATCTTGCTGCCCGTACGCTGCATCGACGCATCTCGAGACATTGGCGTCGCCCCTGGGTTGCTGGCTGGTGTTTGGCCTTGTTTGGACACGTTCTGACCCATTGGCTGTGCAGTGACTGGGACCTGGCCGTTGGCATCCAATCCCAAAGAGAGAGCCAAGTTCTCTTGCATGAACTTCATGGGATCCTCTAGAGGCTTCACATGCTCTTCCTGGATATGCGTCTGTCGTGCCTGCTCTGAAGGGAAGCCCGTTGTCGCCATCTCGCAGTCTGCCTCGGGACACAAGAACATGGGCTTTGGCGGCGCCTTGGGTTCGGGCATGGCCTGTCTCTTGAGTTCGGGGGAACCAGACTTGCTGATCTTGGGCGACGGGGTTGTCTGGCTCGGCTGCTGGGGCGGCGTCGGTTGCGCCCCAGTCTTGGCCTTCTTTCGCGGGTTGGGCAATTTCAGGTTGTCCCGGTTCACCTTCGGCCTGTCCATGTAAGTGGGATCGCCATGCGGAGAGGTTGCGTTGAACGGGAATGGAGGCTGGCTCGTCGTTGGTGCAGCTGGGGGCCCCCCGCTCTTGCTGTTGGACCGCTGGTGCATGTTGTTCAGAGCCTTGGTCTGCTTCTCCAAGTTGGCAGCACTCAATGGCGTCACCTGTCCGCTCTGAGCAGGAGTAGCAGCGGCGGCCTGGTTCGGCGCTGCGGCTTGGCCTTGCTGTGGTGGCGCGGCACCAGCCTTCTTGCCGAGGGAGGCACAGTCGCGCGCCATGCTCTCGAGGAGTCGGCGAACCTCGTCAATCTCGGCGGGCCTGACACTGAAGACTGGCTTGGGGTTCATCATGTGTTCACCGTCGGTGAACTGCCTGATCATTCGGAGCCGCTGGATCATGTCAGTAAAATGTAAAAGGCCAGTGATGTGCATAATTGTCCACTTACAGCTCGGAAATAGCTCTTGGCGCGCTGATCATCACGGGTTGCGGCATACCAGCGCCCCAGGGCCTTTCCAATCTTGCCCATGTCGACCACGATCTTCATGAGCTTGGTACAGGTCTCTGTACGCTGCTCTGGTGGCATGGGAATATCAGGCATATGCTCCGTCATCATCAACCTCTGCTCTTCTTGACCAATGCGCCTGAGTTTGTCAAAGTCGTTCTCCGTAGGTGCAATGCCCGAGCCTGCAGCTTGCATGGCCTGTTGGCGACTCTTCATTGCCTCGTACTTGGCCCTCTGCTCGGGATTCATCGCCGCAATTTGCTCTGGGGTGAAGTTCGGGAACGGGCGCATCTGGCCTGGTTGGGCAGTAGGCCTCTGAGGCTGCTGAGATGCCTGAGGGACGTCGGCAGGCTCGTCAGTGCTAGGCCGCTTGAGGTTCTTTTGCTGCGTCGCAGGCGAGGGGTTCGGAGGCTGTGCTTGGTTGCTCGAAGCCGGACGGTTGTTGTTATTGTTGTTGTTATTCCTTGGTGCCGCCGCGTTGGCAACAGTCTTCTGATCAGGAGTAGCGCTCTGCTGCTTCGGCGGTGCCGGTGGTGCTTGGGCGGGCGTCGGGGTGATATTGGCGGGTATACCGGGCTGAGGCATTTGGGGTGGTGGAGGTGCAGACACTGGAATGGTTGGTCCTCCCGGCGCCGGTAGCCCTTGTGACTGAGCCTGGCGCATGGCCATCTCTTTCTGCATTGCGGCAGCCATCTGACGTTGCTTGATCTGGATGATGAACTGTCTCAGTTGATCGTCGGTAAGGCTAGCAATCTTGGGGTTCGCCTTGCGAGCGTTCATGATATCAGTTGGCGTCACCTGAATCATGTGAGCTGGAATACTCGGCATGCCAGGCGGCATGCCTGGTTGGTTGGGTGCCTGCGGATTCTGTACGCCATTGCCAGGCTGCATCCCATTCTGCTGTGGCTGGGCTGGTCCTTGAGGTTGAGCTTGCTGAGGCGGCTGCGCAATTTGCTGTAGTTGAGCCTGTGGCGGAACCTGCTGAGGCGGCTGAGATTGAGGCGGTTGTGGTTGCTGCGCTTGTTGCTGCTGCTGCGCTGCCGCCGCTGCTGCCTGCTGCTGGTTGCGTTTCTCCATCTGCCTCTGCATGTAGGTCGCGAACTGCGATCTCT